TAGGTATGGCGAGGTCCCGGCATCTCACATGGAGCAGCACATAACAGTTGTTCAACAGCTCATCACAGGTGAGGCTGTCTTCACTATGCCCTTTTCGTGCGGATGGCCGTTAGTGCTTTTGCTGGTCTTCGCACTGCTGCTGCTGCTGCTGCTGCTGCTGCTGCTGTGATCGTTGCTGATTATCTGGGTCGCGCGTTTGCCGCATGCTGCACTGGCTGTGTAGACCTCTTGCTGCTTGTTTCCTTCGATGGTGATGCTATCGGCGGGGTGCTGTTGCTGCGCCTGTGGCTGTTGCAGTCCGCATGCTTTCTGCTGGGCCTTTGGAGTCGTGGCACTACCTCCAGGCAGCGCAACACCCAGCGGAAACGGCGCTTCGTTCCGCGCTGCAGCTGCTGCACCTGTTGTATGTTGCAAACGTCAACAGGCATTTGCACCGTCTGCAGCTGAGGCACTGGAAAGAGCAGAACCTGCAGCTGCTGGATAGAACAGCTTTAGGGTTTAACGAGCTACCTGCAGACGCGGCCGCAGCTGCAGCTGCAGGCGGGACAGCGGCAGCCTCAGAAATGCTGGAACAGCAGCAGCTGCTGAAACAGCAGCAGCAGGCAAGGGAGGTCGACTTCACGCTGTTCCACAATGATGCCATTAATTCCAATAGCCAGCTGCTGCAGCACGAATTTGCGCTTTGGCTGCGCCTACGTCGCGGCATAGCGCCACGGCTGCTGCAGCAAGCGCTGCAGCAGCGGGAGCAAGGACCTATTACCCAAGGCAGGCGGCGGGGACAGCAGCAGCAGGACCAGAACCCGCCACAGAGAGACGCAGCACCTGCAGCAGAACCTTCAGGGACCTCTGGGGCTGGTTCAGCAGCTCCCACAGCAGCAGGAGGACCAGCTGCAACGAACGCTGGCGCAGCAACGCCACAGAGTTCCAACGTCGCCACAGCTGCAGCAGCAGGAGTGGCTGCAGAGGTGGCGCCAAGAAGTGAGAGAGCCACGGGGTCAGCCGTGCGCTCCATGTCAGTAGATTCCTTGTTTTCCGTAGAAGCTGAGGCAATGGCAGCACTGCGGCCGCCGTCGGATGACGCAGCAGCTGGCGGTCCTGCTGAAGGTCCCGGCGGGGATGCAGTCGTTGTAGATACAGCTGAAGACTCATTTAGTAGTAATTTGTTGCGGACAGTTGCTGCAGCAGCAGCAGCCGAAGGCTTCGCGCCAGTGCCCTCTCCTTTCGCCTTGTCGGAGCATTCGACTGCGGCAGCAGCTCTCGCTGCAGGCGTTGCCTCTCCCGTTGCAGCCTTCTCAAGCCCAGCAGCAGCTGCAGCAGCGTCGGCAGCCAATGCCCCATTCTCGCACTTCTCTATTCCAGAAAGAAGCATGACGAACCAGGCGTTCTCACTGCTCGCGCATCCCTTCGTACTGGACGCCTCAGTTAAGGCAGACATCCTCCGGAGGCAGGCAGCAATAGAGCAGCAGTATCAGGTGGGTCCTCCGGGTTCTTTTTTTCTGAGGTTGCCGCTGCTGCTGCAGCCGCGGGTTACGCTGTAGCTGAGGGCCTGCAATGGAGAGGCAAGCTGCCGCTGATGCTGAACTTGTTGGCTGCGGTGCTTGCGCCTTGCTCCGACAGGAGTTGTGGGATGCATCAGCACAGAGTAGGAGAGCTTTGTCTGCGGTTGAGGGGTCTTTTGCTGCATGTCTTTGCTGCTGCTGTTGCGTAGGCACGGCAGGCTGAGATGGACGCCGTCTTGGCGTTGTGCACCGGCGGTGCTGGGTACCCGCTGCCCTTTTTGTACTTGCGGGTGCGTCGGTCTCACTTGGTGCAAGATACGCTGCAGCAGATTGCATGCAACAGCAGCCGGGACAGCCAGATCAACAACACCAACCTCCGTAAGGCCTTGAAGATCAAATTCATCGGGGAAGAAGGCGTCGACCAGGGTGGCGTCACCAAGGAATTCTTCCAGCTTCTTGTCGATGAGGTGGGCAGCAGCAGCTAAGTAGTTCGAGAGCTTAAAGCACTAAAAACGTACAAATGGGCCTCTTTCGTGCTAGCTGTTTCGTGTTATATTGCCTGCAGCGGTAGGGCTGCAGAAGCAGCAGCAATTGGGACTGATCTTCTTCCTGCAGCACGGGATTAGCTGCTGCTTAGCTTGCTGTGTTTGCTATATGTGCAGCTGTTTAGCCCTGACTACGGCATGTTCTCCCTTGACGAGGAAAGCCAGATGCACTGGTTCTGCCCATACTCGCTGGAGGGGCGATATCGTTTTGAGCTCATAGGCATTCTTTGCGGCCTCGCTATAAACAACGCCGTTCTAATGCCCATGAACTTTCCCCTTGTGCTTTTTAAGAAGCTCTTGGGCTGGCCGGCGGCCTCTCTAGAAGATCTTTACGCTCTGCACCCGCAGGTTGCCAGGCAAGCCCGTTAGCACTGACTTTGAGACTGCAGCCATACCCGTGAATTCATACAGGTGCATCTTCTTAGAAGTTGTCTTGGCTTTAAGCGATAGCGGAGGAGCTACCAAAGGAGGCGTTTGGTGGCTGCAGCACGCCAGCTGTGCTGCTCTCGAGTGTCTTCTGTTGCGGGTTGCTGCGAGCTGCTGCGGCTGCAGGAGCCTTGTGTGTGTGCTGCGGGCCTCGCGAGAGGAGCTGGACTCCATGGGCCTGACTTTCAACGTCGCATCCGATTTCCTTGGACAAGTTCGGGAGGACGCCTTGGGTTCGCACGATCCCAGCGACAAGGTTACACTAGAAAACCGGTGAGACAGCGGCAACGAGGACAGGCTGTCCACTGCAGTGGCGCTTATAAAACTGATTTCGCCAGCTTACTGGCTTAGGCAATAGCTTGAAAGCGCAGGCGCAGCAGCTCACACCGCCAGCGTCGTCTGCAGGTGCTGCGTGGGGTGCATGTACGAGCAGTGACGAATACGTTCAGCTGTACTTAGAACACGTCCTTGACGTTTCTGTCCGCGAACAGTACAGCGCATTTGAAGATGGCTTCTACCGCTGCGTGGACAAGACCACAATTTCTCTGTTCCGCCCGGAGGAGCTGCAGCTGCTCCTTCTAGGCAAGGAAGAGGAACTGGATGTTTCGTTGCTACAAAAGGTGAAAGACGCACGCAGCTTGTTGCCCATTCACCCACCGCATTTCCAACGAGTTTGCCGGCACACGGCACAGCCTTTGAGGTTGCGGCAGGCAGTTCACTTCGCTCGCTTCCAAAACCAGACGTGGTGAGCCTTAGGGAGTGTCTTGTTACCTGTGGGTGACGAGGGCGCAGGCAGTGACGTACCAGGACGGATACACGAAGGACTCGCGGGCGATTTCAATGTTTTGGAACGTCTGCCGGACTTTTACTCAGGAGGAGAAGAAGAAGCTTCTTATGTTCATAACAGGTTAGCAGCAGGAGCCTTGGCAGCATCGAGCTTCGGGAACCGCTGGCAGCTCGCTGCGAAGCTTCACCGCGCCTGGCAACGCTTTGCTTGCCTGCTGTCTGCTGCGGCTCTCAGGTTCGGATCGTGTGCCACTGGGGGGTCCGCAGGCGCTGCGCCTCACCATTGGCCGGAGCGGCCCAGACACGGAACGGTAAGTCCGAATGGCCTTTGGCTTTTCGGCAGCTCTTCACGATTACTTGAACTCGCCACGTTCTTTGCTTGTTTCTGGAGGATCTCCGGGCGCTGCGTTGTGACTATGTCTGGAGCAGTTTGGACAGACTTTTGAGCAGCTTTCCATTTTTGTGGTCTCCTCGTTCTTTGTGAAGTTTTGCTTGCTGAGCTGAAACTCAAGCAGCAGAAGATGCCGCGGCTTTACCTTGTGGACCAGCCAACTGTAGCCGGCTTAGAACGAAGTTGCAAAAAACGTATTTCATGGATTCATGCTTGCTTGTTGTGGCTGTTTGCTCCGTGCCGCAGGCTTCCCACTGCTCACACGTGTTTTAATTTTTTGTTGCTGCCCGACTACAGCAGCGAAGAGAAAATGGCGCGGCTGCTTTTGATCGCCATTCAGAATTGCACTGGATTTGGCCTCAGGTGAAGCCACGGCGGTTTCCTGCCTCCGAGGCACCCAGCGACCAGCATTCGCAGCTGCATAAGCGGGCCGTTAACTGCTGTTCAAGTCCAGGGTGGACATGCATTGTTTTGAAGGCCGAGGGAGAGCCAAGTGGCTTGTACGCGCACGGGAGCGTACAAGATAAAAGACATGTGTTGCGTGATTTGCAACTTGATAGTTCCACAAGCAGCGGCAGCTAAGGCGTCTTTCTCCCAGTAGTTAACAGTGACAATACAGGAGTGGGTGCACCTTGCGACTAGTCATTAAATGCAGCAAGCAGCAGCGTGCCACTTTGCTGCATTCTTAAGTGCTGAGGGGAGCAAGCTCAGAGCAATTTATTTCACAGCATGTACCATTTCGATGGCCATTTGACGGCCCTCTTATGGGCCCTGTGCAGAAAGTTAAAAGTCTTTTGAGCTCTATACACGCCAAAGGAGCGTTGCTCTCTTGCTGAGTTGCCTCCGTGGCATGCAGCACAGCGTACGCAACTCTAGCTGCTGCAGCCGCTGCAGCGAACGCAACTGCAGCTGCTGCAGCTGGTGCAACTGTAGATAGGGAAAAAAGTCCACTGGCTGCTGTAGTGGTAGGTTCTGCCAACTCCGCCTCTATTTAAGAGACTGGCTTCCCGTTTGTTTTTCGTGGTGCTGTTGCTGCTGCTGTTACTGCCTCAAAGAAGTCACATTTATGGAGAGCGGGTCGCAAGCCAGGTTCCTGGCAGAGCCCACCAAGGAGTTCGGCACTCTTCTGCTGCTCCGCGGAACAGCAAATTGCCCGCAAAGGACACTGATCTGCATGCAGCGCGAATGCACTGTAGGGAGGCACATAACATCTTTTAAGGAGAGCCGCCTTTCTCCCTTAACCTTGCTGGCTGGGGCTAGCGGCTTTCTCCCCACGCAACACAGCAGAGCAGGGAAACAAAAAGCATCTAAGAGAGCTCGCTGACTCGCTAACTGGCTAGCCAGCAGCACACTTCACGCCTCTTGCCCAGGTCGCTTAAGGCGTTTGAGAGGCTCGAGGTCCCAAAGGGAAACACACGTGGCAGCACCTGATGCAGCAGCAGCAGCAACTGCTGCTGCTGCCGCTGCTTCCCCGGGCCTTGCAACGCGACGCTCCTCCCAGTCTACATAAACCCCGCGCCAGAAACCTTCTGGGCTGGTGTCAATACGGCGGATAATGCCGGCGAGCCGCTGCTGCTGCTGCTGCAGGTGCTGCTGCTGCAGGACGAAATCAAGAACCGCAAGTCCTAGGCCTCTGGGGACAGGGGGGAGGGTCGCAGCAGCAGCAACAGCAGCGGCCTGGCAGCAGCCAAGCTGCATGCGGAAGCGCATGCCAGAACACCACCCCATATCCAGTGCCTGCAGGACTTTGTTGCAATGAAGGAGAAAGCTGCTGCTCCCCTGCAGCACAGGAACACTAAGAATAACCCAGCGCCTGCGCAGCTGAGGGCCAATAGCCCCGGGGGGCAGCGCTTGGCCCCCGCAGCTTCCGTGGCCGTTTGCTGCAGCAGCAATCGCGAGCTCGCGGCTGTGGTGGTCCCTCTCTGCTCCCCAGGCTATCGTGCCGTCTGCTGTTGCGGGTTGCTGCTGCTGCGCATCTGCTGCTGCGGCTCTGCTACTCCCAGCTGACGGTGCCCTTGCGAGTCTTGATCTGGTGACGCGGCTTTCGCTTGCAGTGGAAGCAACAGCAGCAAGCGCGTCCAGACCCTCAGCAGCAGAATCCGCTGCAGTTGGGTGCCTCCTGTTGCGCAGCAACAAAGACACAGCGCAGCCCCGCAACTCCATAGTCCACACACCAGTAAAAGTTGACGCCAGAAAACCTTAGCAAGGGATGCAGCAGCAGCTGTATAGCCGGACTACACTTTGCCCGCTAGGCTGCAGCCATACGGCGGCAGCATCCGCAGCAGCAACGTGAAGTAGCAAGGAGCGCCAGCAGCAATCGCAGCAGCAGCAAGAGCCACAGCCCAGGCTACGGCTGCAGCAGGCCGCGCCCCTCGTTGCTGCTGCAGTTACGAGCAAGGAGGCTCCATCCTGCGCCTCTCACTACGGCTCTGCAGAGGCAAGAGATCCAGCAAGCTGCATCCGCGCAAGGGCCTAGGTCTCCCCCAGGCATGTAAGCAGCAGCAGCACCAGCAGCAGGAGACGCAGCAACCAACCAAAGCTCACCGAGTTGCCACTGAGCAGACAACCCTGTAGTGGGGGCACAGAGAAGCGTCAAGCGCAGCAGTTCCGGGCACTTCGCCGCCTTGCTGCACCAGCTGATACTGCTCCTGCAGCAGCTTCTGCAGCTGCAGCTGCTGCTGGAGATACAACTGAGCTGCTGCTCCGCTTTTTGCTGCCAAAGACAAGGGACTCGCCTGCAGCAAGAAGTCCTGAAAGGCCTTTGAGACCAAGCCGTCAGGCGCCTGCAGCTCTGAGCAGCTGTTCTTCCAAGAGGCTGGGGTTGAGGCACCAGCGGGCGTGGTTGGTGCTGGAGTTCCTCCTGCTGGAGCTGGTGCTGCTGCAGCTGCTGAAGGTGCTGCAGCTACTGCAGCGTCAGGGGACGGGGAACCATCAACCTGCATTGCTGACTGATCCGCAGCAGCAGCTTCCAGTGCCGCTGCTGCAGCAGCAGGCGTGGCAGCGTGCTGCTGCTGCGGCGAAGGCTTCGTGAGGCCAAGGACTACAGGGTCCTCTTCAAGAGAAAAAGAAAACAAAGAAGCAACAAGGCCGACCCCTGCTGCATCTGTTGATCCGCTAGGCATTGCCTGTATGGCGTTGTGCTGCACAACAGGAGTCGTGCCGGCTGTGGCCCCAGAGCCAGCAGCAGCAGCAGCTGCTGCTGCTGCTGCTGTGAGGGGCGGCGCGGCTTCGAGAGGCGGCGGCAGCAAACCCGCGAACCCCGCGAAGAACTCAATTTGATGTACACGGAGCTGCTCCACCCAGCCCAAACAATCGGGAACCTGAAGGCTGCAGCAAGTCCTTCCATAGCTGGACCCTTCCGTCGTTTGCTCCTGCAGCAGACGCAGCAAAACACACAAGCAGCGGCTTCTCCCATTGCTGGCGTTGTCGCCGCCGCTCCGGCTGCTGCTGCTGCTCCGGCTGCTACTGCTGCTGCGGAAAGTTGGGGACGCACGCACCTGGCGCAAAGAGCTAACTACTTCGCAGTGCCCCTTCCTAAAGAAGAAGAGGGAATCCCCCACCCGCGGAATTTGCTGCCGCTGGGCTTCCGAGGCCAGCAACTGTTCAAACGCGTCTCTGTAAGAAAACAGCAGCAACAGCAGCAGCAGCAAAAAGGCGGCAGGTGGTGCCACATCAAGTGTTCTCCCCTTTAGGCACCCACTTGCTGCAGAAGGCCGCTGCCCTCTGGGCAATACGCACAGCGGAGATTTAAGGAAGCTGCAGCAGCTGCTGCTGCAGGTGCTGCTGATGCTGCTGGAGCAGCGGCAGCTGCTGCAGCGGCGACCACGGATCACTCTGCAGCAACAACTGTTGGCAGTCCCCCCAGAGTGCACACAGCGTGTTCACTTGCTGCTGCATCCGCAGCAGCAGCAAACTAACAGCCGAGAAGCCCCACCTGTCTATGGGGGCGTTTAAGTCCGCCAGGCGCTGGCAGTCCAGCCCCGTGGCCTTCCAGACATTGGCATAGAGGCCCCAGAGATGCACTAGGTCTAGCCTGCGTCGCACTTCGCGCCATTGCTGTTCTTCGAGGCTGCTGCTGCTGCTGCTGCTGCTGTTGCTGCTGGCCTCTGCTGCTGCTGCTGCTGCTGGCGCTGCTGCAGCCTCCCCGAAGAGCTGGTCGTACGTCCGCTCCAGAAGCTGCAGCAGCGCAGATTCGTCCCAGCCAAATCCACAGGACATGCACCGCACGAGGGCAGCAAACCGCGCAGCAGCTGCCTCCTCGGCGTCTTCTGCAGCTCCTGCTGCTGTTCCTGCTGCTGGGACTTGGGCCGCTCTGTCAGCTGCCGCCGCTGCCGCAATGGCAGCTTCTACGCTGGCCTTCGTGACAGAGCACAGCGGCTCCGCTGGAAGGAGTGTCTCTGTGGGCTGCTCCGCACCTTCTAGTGCAGCAGCAGCAGCAGCAGCAAGCCCTGCTCCTGCAGCTGGGCCCTCCGTGTCTCCGGGGGAGCTTCGAGACGCTGCAGCGCCATCAGGACTATCTCGCGGTTGATGCGAAGGCCCTGAGCCTGCGCTGCAGAGGGCCGGCGACTTCGCCGCAGCGCTGCTGCTGCTGCTGCTGTTGCTCGGAGCCACTAGAGGCTCCTCCAGGTCTTCTTCGAGAAGCCGAGAGTGCTTCCGCACTGGCTCTACTGGGGAACTTGCTGCTCGCGGAGGCTTCGCAGCAGCAGGACGCAAAGCTTCCGGCGGCAGGTCTTGCTGCTGCCCTGGAGTTGGCAGCAGCACAGGCAACTGCACCGACAGCCGCTGCAGATCCTGTGACCACTGGTGCCGCCTGTAGACCCAAGCCTTCGCATGCACAGCACCAGCAGCATCGACGAGAGACTCTACGTAGAGCAACAGCTGCGCCAATACCCCCTGCAATAGCGCAGCAAAGCGAAATGGCAGCAGCAGCAGCAGCAGCAGCAGCACGCGCCGTAATTCCATTGGCCGCCGTGCACGCCAGCAGCAGCAGTGCAAAAGCAGCAGCAGCAGCCGCACTACACGCAGAAACCATGAAGTAAGCGCCATGCCATGAGTTCTGCAGCAGCAGCAGCAACTGCAGCAGCAGCAGCGACGGCAGCACCACCAGCACCACAACCACAGCAGCAGCTGCGGTAGCCGAAGCTTACGACAAAGAGCGTCTGCTCCATCCAGTACTGCCGATGCTGCCTCTTCGTAGCTGCAGCTGCTGCTGCTGTTGCCGCTGCCGCTCCGTCTCCTACTGTGTACTGCTGCCTGTAAGAAGAGCCATCAGGGCAGCACGTGGAGCTGCAAGAAGCGGCTCTCGCGAGGACTGTAAGGGCCGCAGCGAAGGCCATGCACGGGGACAACTGTCGCTGCTGCTGCTGCTGCTGCCAAAGGACTGGGTAGCAGCGCGGCAGCAACGACAGGTTGAGTGCATGCAGCTGCTTGCAGGCCAGCCAAACTGCAGCAGCAAGAGGCGAGGGCGGGACCACCGGGGCGGCTCGAAGAGGCTGCAGCTGCTCCGCGTCCATCTGCAGCAGGGCGCAGCAGCGGCAGCAGCAACACAAGGGATGCGTGCAGCAGCAAACAGCTCTGCTGCTGCAGCTGCTGAGGCGGCGCGTCACGCTGCACTCCTTGCAGCCAAAGCAGCAGCAACAATGGATGCAGCAGAAAGTCTCACCTCCTCTATGGCCCGGCCCAGAGACTGCCGCAAGCTGCGCTCTCTCTTAAGAGCAGGCGAGAGGGCAGCCCGCAGCTGCCGGAGCGCATCTACGGTTGGTGGCACGAAGAAGCACGTGCTTTGCTGCTGCTGCTGCTGCTGCAGCATCTGCAGGAAGGCAGCCAAAGACTCCACTTTTATGGGCCGCCGCCTTATTGGCCATTCTGAGAGGCTGCCCGTGCTGAGAAGAGCAGCAGCGTCCGCAGACGAGGGGAAAACTTTCAGCAGGCTCTGCCTGTTGCTGCTGCTGCTGCTGCTCTTGCTGGCGCTGCTGCTGCTGCTGCTGTCGCCATTGTGGCCCATGCTGCTGCTTCCGTTGCTCGCGCTGCTGCTGCTGTCTTCGCCCACGCAGTTTGGCCCCTGCTGCTGCCCCTGGCTAAGCTGAGCGCCTGCCGGCTCGGCCTCCGATGCATGGCCGGAGCTGCTGCGGCTGTTGGCTGGGCCGGCAGCAGCAGCTACTGCGGCGGCAGCCGCTGCTGCTGCTGCTGCTGCCTTCTGCATTAGCAGCAGCAGCGGGGACGGCTCGCAGTGAGCCTCCACATAGACCCGAGATATGCTGCCGCTAGCAGACACACAGGCGAAGTACCTGTTAAGAAATCTGTCTTCACCCAAAGCCTCAGAACGCACCACGAAGCAACTCTGCAGCTTTTCTGCTTCTGCATTCGAGACCCTCCCCATGGGCTTCCGCCGCTGCGCCCGCAGGCCCCCGCCTCCAGCGCCCACAGCTGCTGCTGCTTCCTCTGCAGCGCAGCAAACGCACATCTCGAGGGGCGCTTCCGCAACAGCACAGCAGCAGCAGCAGCAGCAGCGGCCACACAGCCGCTGAACACCTCTAGCCTGCAGTCTATGGGCCGCCACAGCAGCAGCAACTCAAGATTAGCAGCACCTCAAGAAGCAGCAGCAGCTCAGGGTACTGGATCCAAGGGGCCCCCTGGGTGCCTTCTGATGGGCGGGAGGCCCCAAAAATGAGCACAGCAGGAGACAGCAGCGCTGCATTAGCAACAAGAAAAAACCTAATGCAGTGATGCAGTGATTAAAGTTAGGGTTTGTGAACAAACGCACCGCCCTCCTCTTTCGCTGCAGCAGCAGAAGCAGCAGAATCCTTTGCTGCTGCATTTGCAGCACCTGCCCCTTCGGCGTCTTCAGCTGCGTGGCCCTCGTCGGCCTCCTGCAGCACACGCGCGGCCAAAGAAGCAGCAGCTCCTCATGCTGCTGCAGCAGTTGTTTTCCCAGACGCCTCTGAGCAGCAGCAAGGGACCCGTCTTCGCCTACCTTCTCTGTCTTGGCTTCGGAAGCAGCAGCAGCGCTTGCGGCCCCAGCAGCAGCAGCAGCAGCAAGGTGCTCCTCCTCTGTGGGGCCCGCAGCAGCCACCTTCAGCCGCAGCAGATTCAGGCGAGCCCTGGCCAGCCCCTCCAGCTTCGTGTCTAAGAAGAACTTTCCTTGCCAGCCGTCAGATACGAGCCGCTGCAGCTGCTGCAGCAGGAAGCAGCGCATGTCGCGGGGCAGCAGCCAGAAGCTGCTGCACCTGCAGTAACAAACACACCCAATCCGCAAGAGGCCTACAAATCCAGCAGCAGCAGCAGCGGTGGAAGAAGCAACGGCGGCGGCTGGCGCAGGCCCAAACCTACGTGCTGCAACAGCAGCTGCATCACTGCGACTAAAGACTACAGCAGCAGCTGCAGCACTGCGACTAAAGACTTCAGCAGCAGCAAGGCCACTGCAGCAGCGCGAACAGCCACCGCTGCAGCAGCAGCAGCAGCATAGGTGCTTACCGCAGCGCATGGAGGGCCAGCAACAAACGGTCCACAGAGGTCCCTTCGACGCCACACAGCTCAGATCGGCTTATGTCCAGCGCCCATTCAACTGCAGGAAGTCCCCCAGCAGCAGCAGCAGCAGCTTCTGCTGCTGCTGCTCTCTCTTCGTCCTCTTCACGATCTCCTTCGGTGCTGCTTGCTTCAGACGCGTCGTCGTCGGCCGCAGCCTCGTGTTGGCTGCTGCTGTTGTTGCTGCCGCTGCTGCATTCCGCAGGTGCTCTGTCTCCCGCTGCTGCTGCTGCTGCTGCCTCCACCTCTTCCGGCTTTGCTGCTGCTCCTGCTCCCATGGGCTCCTCGAGCAGCAGATTGGGAGCCTCTGAGCAGCCGGCCCCTTCCCCGTCACCACTATCAGCCTGAGGCTCTCTGTGCGTTGCTGCTGCAGCTGCTGCATCCGCAGGAGTTCCTGCAGCGCAACTTTGAGGTCCGACAGCTGTGTCTTGGCCTGGCGCAGCTGCTTCTGCTGCAGCAGGACACTCTGCTGCAGAAGGACCCTCTGCTGCAGCAAGACCCTCTGCTGCAGAAGGACCCTCTGCTGCAGCAGGGCTCTCTGCTGCAGCAGGCCCCTCTGCTGCAGCAGACCCTTCTGCTGCAGCAGGCCCCTCCGCTGCAGCAGACCTTTCTACTGCAGCAGGCCTCTCTCCTGCAGCAGACTCCCCTCCTGCAGCAGGCCCCTCTCCCCCAACAGGCGCCTCTGCTGCAGCAGCAGCTCCAGCCCCTCCGGCTGCTGCAGAGACGTCGTTAGCAGCAGGCACAGCTGTTACTGTGCTGCCGCTGCCCACCATCCCGTCGATTTCCATTGTGCTGGGGTCTTCTGCTGCTGCTGCAGTGGCTGCAGCGGCAGCTCCGGGCTGCCACTGGTGTTCCTGCTGCTGCTCCTGCTGCTGCTCCTGCTGCTGTTCATGCTGCTGTTCTGACTCGAACTCGCGCGGCTGCTTTTGCTCCTGCTCTTCCTGCTGCATCTCCTGATGCCCTTCAAGCTGCTCTTCCTGCCACTGTTCTTGCTGCTGCTGTTGCTGCTGCTCACGCTGGCTCCCGTTCTCATGCTGCTCAGGCTTCTGCCGCACAGGTTCTTCTTTTTGTTGCTGCTGCTCTTGCTGCTGCTGCTCAGCCTCTCCCGGGGACTGCGACGGGCCAAGTGAGTCCTGCGAAGGCTGCGGGACCTCCTCAGCACTTTGCAGCCCCTCCAGATCTGCTGCAGCTGCTTCTGCTGCTGCTTCATCATTCGCAGCGGGCACCGACACCTGGGGGGGCGCAATGTAGGTCCGCCTTGGAGTGTACAGACACTCGAACAAAAGCCTCTTCAGCAGCAACGGAGCTGTCAGTGCATCTAGCAGCCTGAGATCTAGGGGGAGGCCATCGAGGGCACTCAGGGCTCTTCCTGGGAGAAGCAGCAGCTGCTCATTCTGCTGCTGCTGCTGCTGCTGCTGCAGCTGCAGCTGCAGCGAGTCCCCCGCTATCAACCGACGCATCTGCTGCAGCTCCTGCGGACGCCCACCCCCAGTGCAGGCAAAGAAGGCAGAAGCAGCCGCTGCGCATGAGGCAGGATCAGCCACCGAGCTGCTGAAGCTGCGGCCTAGCACACTCCTGCTGCTGTTGCTGCTGCTGCTGCTGCTGTTGCTGCTGCTGCCGTCTTCTGCCGAGCCGCAGGTGTGGGCGTCGTGCCGCGCCCGGCGCCGCTTCCTGGAGTGCACGTGCTGCTGCTGCTTGTAAACCCCAGAGTCTATTCCCAGCCACAGAGCAGCAGAAGCCTGTGTCTCATCAGGGGCAAGAGCTTCTGCTGCAATGCTGCCAGCAGCAGCTACTCGCGGCATCGCGTCCGACAGCTGCAGCACCGCCAGCTGCAGCAGCCGCAGTAGCAGCGCGTCCCCGAGGAAGAAGGGCAGCTGCTCCCCACAGGCTTCCGACACATTCACGTCCAGCGCTGCTGCTGCTGCGTCTGCTGCAGATGCCTCCGCTTCTGCTGCTGCTGCTGCTGCTGCTTTGGCCGCAGCTGCCTCGCTCCTTTCGCGATCTTCTTCGTCCTCAGACTCTGACGCATCAGCAAGTGGCTCCTTGCTGCCAGCAGCAGAGTCCACTGCAGCATCTCCTGCTGCCTGTGGAGTCGTTGCTGCTGTTCTGCCTGCTGCGGCTGCTGCTGCTTTTGCTGCTGCTGCTTTTGGGTCGTCACTCGAGCGAGTTCCGCACCCGCTGCCGCTGGCTTCTTCACGCCCATCATGACCCGCTGCAGTGCCTACTGCTGCTGCTGATGCTGATGCTGCGGCATCTGCCCCTGCTGCTCCGTCAGCTGGTCCTCTTGTCGCCGGCATTTCAGCAGCAAGGAGAGCAGCCCCAAAGCTGTCTGAAGCGCTATTCTCCAGACCATTAGCTGCTGCAGCTGCTGCCGCAGAGGAGTCGCCTGAGCTCTTTTGCTGCTGATTCTGCTGCTGTTCCTGCTGCTGCTGACGCTGCCACAGCTGCAGCAGACAATCAGCCTCCGGCAGTCGGTGCACCGAAGCCACTAAATCAAGCGAGGGCGGAGTGTCCTCCTTGCGGCCTTCTGCCCTGCCGTGAGCTGCAGCAGCAGCGCCGGCAGCAGCAGCAGCAGAAGGAGCAGCACGAGCGAAGGGCTGCACCCGAGGCCCCAGCACAGCAACCTCCAGAGTGTCAATCGAAGGGGGCAGCAACTGAAGATACTCAGAGAAGACCCGGAAGAAATCCTGCAGCTCCAGCAGCTCCGGGTGTCTGTACAGCTGCAGCAGCGAAAGCGGCAAAGGCCTCCGCTGGCACTGCAGCCAAACAGCAGCAGACACAACAGACACAGCAGGCTGAGCGAGAGCAGCAGATCCGGCGCAGGAAGCCCAAAAGGAGCAACAGCAGCAGTAGAGGCAACAGCAGCTTCGGGAGCAGCAGCAATAGAAGCAGCAACAGCAACAGCAACGCAGCAGCAGCAGCAGACAGCAGTTCAACGGCTCCTGGTGTGTCTTGCGCCTACCAATGCTTCCTCGAAGGGGTCAATCAGCAGCTCATCTTTGGGTTCTACGCCAGCTGTCTCGAGTTCGTCCACAGGTGGCTGCGGCTGCTGCTGTGGCTGCTGCGGCAGCTGCTGCTGCACCTGTTGCTGCATTTGCTGCTGCAGCTGCTGCTGCAGCTGGGCCGCCGCTTTGCGCATGTTCAACGCTGCAGCCGCTGCATCCGACATGCAGTCTCCTTGCTGGGAGTCGCAATCCATCAGACCCGGGGTGAGGCTGCCGTGACCCGGTGTTGCTGCTGCTGCTGCTGTTGCTGCTGCTGTTACTGCTGCTGCTGCTTCTGGGTTTCTGCTGTCGCCGCGCTGGCGCTTGCAGCGCTTGCCCCCGCGACCCGACGACGGCGCCCCCCGCCCTGTTGAGCCCTGCTGCTGCAGTCGCATGGCTGCTGCCAGCTCTGGGTCAACGGGAAGCTGTTGCTGCTGTTGCTGCTGCTGTTGCTGCTGCTGCTGGTGGGCGTCCTGCTGCTGAGCCACTGCCTCCTCCTGGAAAGCTGCTGGGTCGGGAGCCAGCACATATTCGAGCGGCGGGACATAGACGTTTGCTGCAGCAGCTTTTTCAATGAGCGTTTGGCAGAAAGGCCCGTACAGCAGACTGCTGCTGCTGCCGCTGCTACCGCTGCTGCTGCTGCTGCTGCTGCTGGCGCCGACCGTTGCCTCGTAAGCAGCAACCTGCGTGATGAGGAAGCGCGCGAGGGAAATCAAGTACTCCTCCGTGCAGCCGTCAACAGCAAAAGCGCCACCCCAGCAGCAAACTGGGCTGCTGCTGCCATCTGCCAGCTGCCGCACTCCAGTGCCTTCGGGGTCTGAGAGCGACAGCAGCTGCGAGCCTTTGCCTTTGCGAATGGCAAGTGCTGAAATGAGCTTCGCGTGGGCAAAAACCAGATTCGGGTCTTGCTGCTGCAGCAGCAGCTGCTGCTGCTGCTGCTGCTGCTGCCGACCCACCTGCTGGCGCCCGCCCCGACACCCACCTCGCGAGCCCCCCCGGCCCCCGCTCCTCGCTAGGAAAACCCCATGCTCCTGCTGCTGCTGCTGCTGCTGCTGCCGCTGCTCTTGCTGCTGCGGGCTCTCTCCAGCGTCGTCGTCCAGCTGCAAAGAAGCGGCGCCTGAGTTCTCCGCGATGTGGCAGTTCTCCGTTTCTGAAAGCGAGCAGTTTGAAAGCTGCTGCTGCTGCTGCTGCTCTTTTTCCTTTTCCTGTTGTTGCTGTTGCTGTTGCTGTTGCTG